AACGCGAAGGCTGGACTCAAACCGCTGGAGCGTCGACCATTTCTGGCCGGCAACTTTCAGCGTCATTAAGCCGCTGCGCCACCGCGTCCAAATACCCTAGCCATCATAAAAGATCGTTTTGCCTGGGTGTTTATGGGAGCGTTTCTCAGCAGTGGCCCCCCCTTCTCTGGAATAGCCTACCCTCACGCATCTGGACCACCACCCCGCTAGGCTTTTACAGAGCTACAAAAACAAGGCCCCTCTGAGAGAGTATTAAGATCCCACCTGCCCCTAATGAATGGATTATTATTGTTTTTGAGATTATACAGTTGAGTTGTATATTGTTTTAATTTTCTGGGTGATTTTATACCCTCGGAGCATGCAGAAATGGAACAACATAAAAATTCCAGCAAACAAACAGATGAACATCTTTCCAATGATGAAAAAAATCTACCTGGTTAGCTGAACAGACAAAAGAATTCTAATATATAAATCTAAAGTCATCCAGGTGACAAGTCATGCTCTAGAAGAGACTTTTGTGTTAGAATTTCCTGTTAGAACACAGGAAATATTTAGAAAGGTATACATAAAGTACCATACAGAGGCTTAATCTGACTTGTCACTGTTTATTGTTTGTTTTTAATTTAATTAAGCATTTCCATGCAACCATTCAAATGAATCAAGTTTGCCATACAACATGCTCCACCACGAACATAGCAGATAAGAAGACAGGAGAGGTTGCATAGGGAAGTAGGAAAAGATTAAAAAAAAAAGATGTGGGAACTTACATATTCATCCTCACAGGGGCTCATACAGCCATATTCCTTTAGAGGCACACATTCAATAAAAGAGATTAAGAAAAAAAAGTTAAGAGAAAAACCACAGAAATGAAATATAACATATAAAATAATGTTTTAAAAATGAAAACTTGGTTAAGAAGAGAAAACAACACTGGAAAGACCCATGCACATAGACTTCAATTTCTTAATATTTATGTACCCTAACAATTATTTCTTGTGCACTGATAAAGTGGGGTTGGAGAAAAGGGTGACTGATAATAAGCAGGTGACTTGATAGACATTAAACTGTCATCTTTATGGGATGAAAAGGAGGGGATGTCGCTTAATCACCAACCACCAGTATGTTGATTGGAATGAATTATACACTACAGCAAAGCCCTAGATGGGCTGTATAAAGTCAAAACTGCTGAGAAAACCACTGAGAAAGGGAAGCCTCCTTCTCAGAGCACTTCCAGAACGTAAAGGCCCGTGGAGGCTTCCACAGATAACAGACAAGCTTCATGGCACAGCTGTAAAAGAAACCCAGGACGCACGCTGTCACGGTGGGTGCTGCTGTGGCACAGACAGCCGCCAAGGGAACTCATCCTTCTCCCATCTGCACAGAGCACGAGAGAGTTGGAAGAGCTACAGATAAAAAAGACTCAGTTAAAAGCAGCTGGACTGAAAAAAGGTGCCTCTTGGGAGCAGATGTGGTTCTCATTAGGAAAGGTGCATACAACCGCTGTAAGAAAATTAAATAAAGACACGCAAAGGATGACAAATGCATATTTTCTAGCTTCTTTTCTTCCGGAGTGAAAAACAGAGGGAACAGAGTAACTTGGGAAAGCTTGGGACAGCAAAGCCTTCTTAAGGCCCCTTACAAAATGGAGACAATCTACCTGGCTCCAAGGAGAGCCAGGCGAGGGTAAGGAAGTGCTCAGGGCAAGGCTTCTTCTGAACTACTCCTCTGCACCCAACTGCAGGGGGATCAAGAGGGAGACACCTGTCCTCCTCACTCACGCCCAGCTCCAGTTATATCCCAGCCAGCTCATGACAAGTGGTCTCCATGCCACAGGCAACAAGGGCCAAGTTCAGGAACAGGCTGTTGCAGCAACTACTGCCAAAATCTGAAACTGTACGACTACCTGCCTAGCTATCAAAATCCAACTCCTTCACCCCAAACAGGGTATGTAAGAGAAGAGGCTTTTATCAACAGCCATTAGTTTAGCAAAGCATTGTAATCAACAAAACACACACTGTTTTCCAGGTGCTAAGAACCAATGCCAGCATAAATTAATTTTTCTAGATAAGCATTTTGCTACAATGTTGTCCAATCTCATTAAGTTCTTCAAGATGCCATCACCTTCGGGTGATGAATACTCTGTTTATGACACCTTATCTCCTGCCATACCCAACTTCCTTAGAAAAACGCATCATGATATCATTGTTGTTCCAAGATGCAGACATTTCGACAAAACCTCAGGATGGGTCTTCCAACCGCTGTGTCTATGGCATGTCCCTATTTCCAGTTCCTCTAAAGTGGTACACCCCGTTACCATTTTATTTCCATCCTGCAACTTTTTTCATTTCAGAACAGCAAACCCAGCTGATCCGGTATGGAAAAGCTCTTATGGCTTTCTCTTGCTTTTGGTACAGACACTTCTCAGCTAGCTGAGTACAATCCGTGGGACTAACATAAAGCCCTTTTGCTTTCCAGCTCAAGGTCCCAGATTCCTTTCGTTAACCTGGTCAGCTGCTTGCCATTGCCTGACCACGCCCAGCTGGCACCAGGACGATGGCTGGATGAATGGATGGCTGTAGAAGGCAGATGGACTATATGTAGGCTGCAGCCCTATTTTTCTGCAAAAGTGGGGGGGGGGTAGATGGAGAAGGCACACTGAAACAATAGAGACCCAGCCTTTTGATGCATTAAGAGCATCCTGCTATGCACAGAGAGTTATTTGGCTTTAAGCCCGCCAGCGTCCTGACACATGCTGCCTACCAGCACAGAGCACAAGGGGATGCTAAGAAGAAAGGGCAGACTGTTAAACAAATCAGCAAAGTGTTGTGCCACAAGAGATACAAGAAGCCACCAACTGGAAATAAGTAAGAAACTTGCTTCAGTTAGGTACTGGCAACCCACCGCAAAAACATTGCATGCATTTCTATTAAATTTCAGACAGAGAGGAAGACGGCTTAAAATGATGCGTTTAGATTAAAGCGCTCTTTACGAGAAATCTACCATTAAAAAAAAAATGAAGTGCCAAGCTCATGGCACATGTTATATGGGTTTCCTCGGCTGTGGAAACAAAGTAAGCTGAATCAAACCAGTATCTGAAAGGGTGCAGCAAGGCAGGACTTCTGCTTGGGCAAACTTAGCAGATGTTATTGCCATTGTATCTTGTCTTCCTCAGAGGAAATCACATGGACTTCCAAGATTGTTCAGCATCCTCACCCAGGATACTAGGGACATACACACTTGGAAAATGATTTGGAAGAAGTGCTTTGGACCTCAGATAAGCACAGGAGATCCACTCACAGAGTTTTTCTTTTAATTAATTAACTGATCAACACCAGTGGTGTTGGGTGGAAGAGGGGAGCTTTCCATATAAAGTGTTCTACCTAAGAACCTCTGATTGCTGGAACACCAGCCATGATAGCCCAGCTCTGAGCTGTGCCTCCAAGCACACGTAACATTTGCTTGGCCCCAATAATGCTATTGGGTTTGCCAACTGAACTTTGACCAACAATTAATTTGCTTATCTCAAACCGAGACCCAATTACAACACTTTGCCTCTCACTGTTTCTGGCTACTCAGACTAGCAAGAAGTTCAAGATTCTAAGTCAGTGGCTGCAAGTGACGTCTTCAGACAGAGTTGTCGTCTCTTTCCAGTCCAAGTTCAATTACACAATGTTCTTCCTGGCAACCAAGGTTGAAGGGCAAGATAATTTGTATTATCAGGATTAAATTTCTGCCTTAACAGTTTAAAGGAAGGTTAAATCACGCAGGGTTAGGCTGTGATACCGAGTTATTCCAATACTCCACTGCACTCAGTGCACCTTTACATACAGAAGCTCCCAGCCTCAGCCTGAGCTAGCTATCCAAGGCTAACCCTGTGCCACATCTTTCCCAATATAGCTGCCTATTACTTTGTCCCCTGCTCTCTCTGTACACTAAGGTGACAGGGATCCTGTGGACTTCCTGGATGGAACTCTTCCTGGTTCAGAGCTGGGATCTCCAGGGATAGAATCAGGGACATGATTCTGTTTTGCCACGGTCAGTGGGATCACGCCTCTCTGCATCTGCTTTGTAAAATGCATTACAGTGGTACCTCAGGTTACGAACGCCTCTGTTAACGAACTTTTCGGGTTACGACCAG